AAAAGGGGGCCCGGGGGGGAAAAAAACCCCAAAAATTTTTTTTGGGGGGGGGGTTTTTAAACCAAAAAAATTTTTTTTTTTTAAAAAAAAAAAAAAAAATTTTTTTCCAAAAAAACCCCTTTAAAATTTTCCCCTTTTTTTTTAAAAGGGGGGGGTTTTTGGGGGGGGGGGAAAAAAAAAAAGGGGGGGTTTTTTTTTTTGGGGGGGCCCCTATTGGGTTAAGGGGGGGTAGGGGTGGGGGGGGGTGGGGTAGGGGTGGGGGGTTGGGGGGAGGGGGGGGGGGGGGTGACCAGTTTGCGGCAGTTTACCGCGTTTTGCCACATTTTTCAGCATTTAGAGCATTTTTTACAGCTAAAAAAAGATCTTCTCTAGAAACCCACTAGTTCTGGGTTTTTTTTCCAGCCGAAAACAAAACGTTGATTACAGTCTATGTGTGTATGGACACGTAGGAGAACATGCCGGGGGTGGACACGTGGGAGAACATGCCGGGGGTGGACACGTGGGAGAACATGCCGGGGGTGGACACGTGGAGAACACGCCGGGGGTGGAAACACGCCGGGGGCCGGGGGTGGACCCGCGGGAGAACACGCCGGGGGTGGACCCGCGGAGAACACGACGGGGATGGACACGCGGGAGAACACGTCGGGGGTGGACACGCGGGAGAACACGTCGGGGGTGGACACGCAGGAGAACACGACGGGAGGATGCAGGAGAACACGACGGGGATGGACACGCAGGGGATGGAGAGGAGAACACGACGGGGATGGACACGTAGAAGAACACGACGGGGAATGGACACGCAGGAGAACACGACGGGGATGGACACGTAGGAGAACACGACGGGGATGGACACGCAGGAGAACACGACGGGGATGGACACACAGGAACACGCCGGGGATGGACACATAGGGTAACATGCTGGGGGGGTTTACTGGCTGTAGAAAAAAAATGTCAAATGCCAAAAACAGCCGCTGTAAAAACATCCCGTGTGCAGGAGGACTAAAGCTGAACTCCGAGTACCAAAAACTCATTTAAATACATTCCTAGCCATACAAGATGTGAATCTACTCAGCGCACCCAATGCCTTCGCACACCAAGATTCTAATAACAATGGCATGGCTCCTGTGGACAATGGGGCTATTTACTAAAACTGGAGAGTGCAAAATCTGGTGCAGCTCTGCATAGTAACCAATCAGCTTCCAGGTTTTAGGGCTCATATACACTGCAGCTGAAAACTCACGTTTAGGAACTTTTCTGCATTTTTTTCAGCAGCCCCTGAACCCCCCCCAATGTCCTCCTCTGTGTCCCGTGAACTTTCAGACAGCAGCCCCTGAACCCCCCCCAATGTCCTCCTCTGTTCCGTGTACACTATGATGTTTACAGCAGCCCCTGAACCCCCCCCAATGTCCTCCTCTGTGTCCGTGTACACTATGATGTTTACAGGCAGCAGCCCCTGAACCCCCCCCCCCCCCCAATGTCCTCCTCTGTGTCCGTGTACACTATGATGTTTACAGGCAGCAGCCCCTGAACCCCCCCCCCCCCAATGTCCTCCTATGCTGTACACTATGTTGCTTACAGCAGCCCTGAACCCCGCAAATGTCCTCCTATGTGTCCGTGTACACTATGTTGTTTACAGACAGCAGCCCCTGAACCCCCCCAATGTCCTCCTCTGTGTCCCGTGTACACTATGTTTGTTTACAGACAGCAGCCCCTGAACCCCCCCAATGTCCTCCTCTGTGTCGGTGTACACTATGATGCTTACAGGCAGCAGCCCCTGAACCCCCCCCAATGTCCTCCTATGTGTCCGTGTACACTATGATGTTTACAGGCAGCAGCCCCTGAACCCCCCCCCCCCATGTCCTCCTATGTGTCCGTGTACACTATGTTGTTTACAGGCAGCAGCCCCTGAACCCCTCCCCAATGTCCTCCTCTGTGTCCGTGTACACTATGATGTTTACAGGCAGCCCTGAACCCCCCCAATGTCCTCCTCTGTGTCCGTGTACACTATGATGTTTACAGGCAGCAGCCCCTGAACCCCCCCCCAATGTCCTCCTCTGTGTCCGTGTACACTATGTTGTTTACAGGCAGCAGCCCCTGAACCCCCCCAATGTCCTCCTATGTGTCCGTGTACACTATGTTGTTTACAGGCAGCAGCCCTGAACCCCCCCCAATGTCCTCCTATGTGTCCGTGTACACTATGATTGTTTTACAGACAGCAGCCCCTGAACCCCCCCCAATGTCCTCCTATGTGTCCGTGTACACTATGTTGTTTACAGGCAGCAGCCCCTGAACCCCCCCCCCAATGTCCTCCTATGTGTCCGTGTACACTATGATGTTTACAGGCAGCAGCCCCTGAACCCCCCCCCCCAATGTCCTCCTATGTGTCCGTGTACACTATGATGTTTACAGGCAGCAGCCCCTGAACCCCCCCCCCCCCCAATGTCCTCCTATGTGTCCGTGTACACTATGTTTTTACAGGCAGCAGCCCCTGAACCCCCCCCAATGTCCTCCTATGTGTCCGTGTACACTATGTTGTTTACAGGCAGCAGCCCCTGAACCCCCCCCCCAATGTCCTCCTATGTGTCCGTGTACACTATGATGTTTACAGGCAGCAGCCCCTGAACCCCCCCCCCCCAATGTCCTCCTATGTGTCCGTGTACACTATGTGTTTACAGACAGCAGCCCCTGAACCCCCCCCAATGTCCTCCTATGTGTCCGTGTACACTATGATGTTTACAGGCAGCAGCCCCTGAACCCCCCCCCCAATGTCCTCCTATGTGTCCGTGTACACTATGATGTTTACAGGCAGCAGCCCCTGAACCCCCCCAATGTCCTCCTATGTGTCCGTGTACACTATGATTGTTTACAGGCAGCAGCCCCTGAACCCCCCCAATGTCCTCCTATGTGTCCGTGTACACTATGTGTTTACAGGCAGCAGCCCCTGAACCCCCCCCCAATGTCCTCCTATGTGTCCGTGTACACTATGTTGTTTACAGACAGCAGCCCCTGAACCCCCCCCAATGTCCTCCTATGTGTCCGTGTACACTATGTTGTTTACAGGCAGCAGCCCCTGAACCCCCCCCCCCAATGTCCTCCTATGTGTCCGTGTACACTATGATGTTTACAGGCAGCAGCAGCCCCTGAACCCCCCCCAATGTCCTCCTATGTGTCCGTGTACACTATGATGTTTACAGACAGCAGCCCCTGAACCCCCCCAATGTCCTCCTATGTGTCCGTGTACACTATGATGTTTACAGGCAGCAGCCCCTGAACCCCCCCCAATGTCCTCCTATGTGTCCGTGTTCACTATGTTGTTTACAGACAGCAGCCCCTGAACCCCCCCCAATGTCCTCCTATGTGTCCGTGTTCACTATGTTGTTTACAGGCAGCAGCCCCTGAACCCCCCCCCCCAATGTCCTCCTATGTGTCCGTGTACACTATGTTGTTTACAGACAGCAGCCCCTGAACCCCCCCCAATGTCCTCCTATGTGTCCGTGTTCACTATGTTGTTTACAGACAGCAGCCCCCCCCCCCCAATGTCCTCCTATGTGTCCGTGTACACTATGATGTTTACAGGCAGCAGCCCCTGAACCCCCCCCAATGTCCTCCTATGTGTCCGTGTACACTATGTGTTTACAGGCAGCAGCCCCTGAACCCCCCCAATGTCCTCCTATGTGTCCGTGTACACTATGTTGTTTACAGACAGCAGCCCCTGAACCCCCCCCCAATGTCCTCCTATGTGTCCGTGTACACTATGTTGTTTACAGACAGCAGCCCCTGAACCCCCCCCCCAATGTCCTCCTATGTGTCCGTGTACACTATGTTGTTTACAGGCAGCAGCCCCTGAACCCCCCCAATGTCCTCCTATGTGTCCGTGTTCACTATGTTGTTTACAGGCAGCAGCCCCTGAACCCCCCCAATGTCCTCCTATGTGTCCGTGTACACTATGTGTTTACAGACAGCAGCCCCTGAACCCCCCCCAATGTCCTCCTATGTGTCCGTGTTCACTATGTTGTTTACAGGCAGCAGCCCCTGAACCCCCCCCCAATGTCCTCCTATGTGTCCGTGTACACTATGATGTTTACAGGCAGCAGCCCCTGAACCCTCCCCAATGTCCTCCTATGTGTCCGTGTACACTATGATGTTTACAGGCAGCAGCCCCTGAACCCTCCCCAATGTCCTCCTATGTGTCCGTGTACACTATGATGTTTACAGGCAGCAGCCCCTGAACCCCCCCAATGTCCTCCTATACGTGTCCGTGTACACTATGTTGTTTACAGGCAGCAGCCCCTGAACCCCCCCCAATGTCCTCCTATGTGTCCGTGTTCACTATGTTGTTTACAGACAGCAGCCCCTGAACCCCCCCCAATGTCCTCCTATGTGTCCGTGTTCACTATGTTGTTTACAGACAGCAGCCCCTGAACCCCCCCCCCAATGTCCTCCTATGTGTCCGTGTACACTATGATGTTTACAGACAGCAGCCCCTGAATCCTCCCCAATGTCCTCCTATGTGTCCGTGTACACTATGATGCTTACAGGCAGTGGAGTTTACAGTTGCTTTTTTGAATGCACCAAACTTGCGTTCAGGAGTAGATTTTATCAGCATTTCAAATGCTTGTAAACGTATGTAAACGCATTTAACCGCGTTTGCGGTTTAGAAGCGTTTTTGTTAACTGTTCCATGACCAGATGCTGCCCGGAGCCTTTCTTCATCACCAGAAATGCATACAAAGTGTTTTCCATGTATACAAATGGACCCGGTACACCAGCGCAGTCAGTTCCAGGTTTTGCGTGAAGGAGAAAACGCGCAGCGTGGCGATCGGCGGATCACCGATCGCGGAAAGAGCCGAAGATGTCGGCTCGGTCATGTGATCATCTGTGTCCAATCACAGCTGATCACATGTAAACAGGGAAATGCCGGTTATCGGTATTTCTCTCCTCTCGAGCTGTCACGCTGACAGAGGGGAGGAGAGCCAGAAATCGGCTTTCCACAGAGGGGACATGTACACTGATCATATGAGGGCACTGATGATCAGTGTGCCCTGATGATCAGTATAGCCCCAGCAGTGCCACCTGTCAGTGTCCGCCAGTGCACATCAATGCCACATATCAGTGCCCATTTGAGCTGCCTTTCAGTGTCACCCATCAGTGCCAGTCAGTGCCACCTATCAGTGCCAGTCAGTGCCACCTATCAGTGCCAGTCAGTGCTGCCTATCAGTGTGCATCAGTGCCGCCGCCTATCAGTGCCTGTGAGTGCCGCCTAACAGCGCCAGTCAGTGCCGCCTATCAGTGCCGCCTATCAGTGCCATGTATCAGTGCTGCCTTTCAGCGCCCATCAGTGATGCCTGTCAATGCCCATCATGCCACCTATCAGTGTCCATCAGTGCAGCCTCATTAGTGCACATCAGTGAAGGAGAAAAATCACTTATTTACAAAATATTATAACAAAAAACTAAGAAAAACATTTTTTTTTTTTTTTCAAACTTTTCAGTGGTTTTTGGTTTGTTTAACAAAAAAAAATAAAAAAAACCCCGAGGTGATTAAATACCACCAAAATAAAGCTCTATTTGTCACAAAAAAATGATAAAGATTTCATATGGGTACAGTGTTGCATGACTGTGCAATTGTCATTCAAAGTGTGACAGCACTGAAAGCTGGAAATTGGCCTGGGCAGGAAGGGGGTAGAAGTGTCCGGTAGGCAGGAAGGGGGTAGAAAGTGCCCGGTAGGCGGGAAGGGGGTAGAAGTGCCCGGTAGGCAGGAAGGGGGTAGAAGTGCCCTGAAGGCAGGAAGGGGGTAGAAGTGTCCGGTAGGCAGGAAGGGGGTAGAAGTGCCCGGTAAGCGGGAAGGGGGTAGAAGTGCCCGGTAGGCAGGAAGGGGGTAGAAGTGCCCTGTAGGCAGGAAGGGGGTAGAAGTGCCCTGTAGGCAGGAAGGGGGTAGAAGTGCCCTGTAGGCAGGAAGGGGGTAGAAGTGTCCGTAGGCAGGGGGGGGTAGAAGTGCCCTGTAGGCAGGAAGGGGGTAGAAGTGCCCGGTAGGCAGGAAGGGTGTAGAAGTGCCCTGAAGGCAGGAAGGGGGTAGAAGTGCCCGGTAGGCAGGAAGGGGGTAGAAGTGCCCTGTAGGCAGGAAGGGGGTAGAAGTGTCCCGGTAGGCAGGAGGGGGTAGAAGTGCCCTGTAGGCAGGAAGGGGGTAGAAGTGTCCGGTAGGCAGGAGGGGGTAGAAGTGCCCTGTAGGCAGGAAGGGGGTAGAAGTGCCTGGTAGGCAGGAAGGGGGTAGAAGTGCCCGGTAGGCAGGAAGGGGGTAGAAGTGCCCTGTAGGCAGGAAGGGGGTAGAAGTGTCCGGTAGGCAGGAGGGGGTAGAAGTGCCCTGTAGGCAGGAAGGGGGTAGAAGTGTCCTGTAGGCAGGAAGGGGGTAGAAGTGCCCTGTAGGCAGGAAGGGGGTAGAAGTGCCCTGAAGGCAGGAAGGGGGTAGAAGTGCCCGGTAGGCAGGAAGGGGGTAGAAGTGCCCGGTAGGCAGGAAGGGGGTGGAAGTGCCCGGTAGGGAAGGGGTTAATAACATTACCACCTGGAGGTTTCTTGAATTTCGATTCTATACTTGTATATATGGAGAGGCGGCACCAGCTACTTCCTGAGATGACAGCAGACACTTAAATTGCCACGTAACAAAGTGCTGGGAGGATTACATGAAGGAAAAATGAAAGCTTTGTTAACCCCTTCCAGACCGGACACTTTCCCCCCCTTCCAGTTCAGGGCAATTTTCAGCTTTCAGCGCTATCACACTTTGAATGACAATGCGCGGTCATGCAACACTGTACCCAGATGAATTTTTTTACCATTTTTTTGAGACAGATAAAGCTTTATTTTGGTGGTATTTGTTCACCGCTGGGATTTTTATTTTTTTTTACTATGTAAATGAAAAAGTCCAAAAATTTTGAAAGTGTTTTTTTAAATAAAATTTAGCAAATAAATAATATTTCATCATAAATCCTGGCCAAAATTTATTCCGTTATTTTTTTAGTAAAAAAAAAAAATATCCAAATTAGTTTATAACCAAAAATTATAATTTTTTAAACATTTTTATTTTATTTTTTTTATATTATTTTTTTTTTTTTTTTTTTTTTTTTTTACATACTGTCACCCTAGCAGTAGTGTCCCCATGGTAACACTGTACTACTTGTGGGGGGTGATGAAGATTTTTTTTTTACACTGATTGCTTTTACACCCATATTGGATGTAAAAGCAATAATTTCTCTTTCTCTCTGTCTGCATTCTTGCAGTCATTGAGAAGTACTGAGTGAGCTGTGATTGGTCACAGATTGTCACATGGTACAAGGCTGTTGTGAATAGCCCTGTACCATGTGATCTCTGTGATCATTCACAGATTTCACATGTAGTAAGCAATGATGTCACAAGTGACATCTTGATTACTACTTTGCATGTGATCACTGATTGGCCAATCAGTGATCACATGATCGGGACCTCGTACAGAGGTCCCGTCCGACGATCGGTGTTTCACTGTGTCCGGAGGACACAGCGGGCACCGGATCGTGGTGCTGCGCGCTCCCAGGGAGCGCGCACAGCTAGAAAAGGCAGGTGCCGTTTATGAACAGCAACCCGCCCCTGGAGTGCCACCGGCCTGCCGTTTATAAACAGCGGCCGGACGGGAAGAGGTTAAAGCAGAATCCCCCCCCCCCCCCCCCCCCTAACCTTTGTAGTTAAGAAATCTGTCATTTTACAGGCGGTTGCCGTGGTCCTTCTCCTGTGTCCAGCTATGGCATGAAAAAAGTCAGTTGGGAGCTCTCATAGGCACACTGGTGACAGTTAGGATTTGAATGTAACTGGCTGAACCTGCTCATTTGCATATCTTTGCAAAGGATTCTGGGAAATGGGTTTTGCCACCTCAGGGTTGATCAAATCTGAATTATTTGTGTTTTTAGATGGTTTATAGAGCCAGAAAGATTTGGAAGTGAACATACAAGCCCAAAGAGAGATTTTAATGTTAAATTCAAATTTGACTCTCCATAGGTTGATATTTTGGTATTTCGGGCGGTTTATAAAAGACACGAAGCGTACTGAGTAGATGGAGAGGTTGGGAAAGCTCAATGGACACCAAGTGAGGATCTCTCTGGGGCCGGTTCAGTGACACCGAGGCGAGGATTCCTCTGGGGGAGTTCATTGATACTGATGTGAGGATCTCTCTGAGGGAAATTCAGTGATTACTGACAGGAGTGATACCAATGGGAGGATCTCCTTGGGGAGTTCAGTGATACTGACAATGAGGATCTCTCTGGGGAAGTTCAATGATACTGACATATGAGGACCTCACTGAGAAGTGACACTGAAGGGCAATACAAACTTCTCTGAGCCTAGGCCCCGCTCCAGAACACTTGGAAGTTGAGCGTTGTTCCCTGCCTCTCTTTTTTAGGTGTTCCTGCATTGCAGACCCCTCCCTGTTATCTCACATATAGACTCTCATTATTATTATAGACAAATTTACCCCCCCAACTCCTCCCACAGTTCTTACACTACATAGACAGTAATATACCGAAACGTGCGGATTGTTCCCGATTGGTGTGCTGTCACTTTGTGGAACGTTTCGCCAAACGGTTCACGAAATATCGCCGTTTTTTGGTGGTGAAATTGGTCCCATAGGAATGAATGGCGGAATGTGAGTGTGAGCTGAAAAATCAGGACATGATTTTTGTAAACTGCTATCACTCTGTCATTTTCAAGCCCACCTACACATATCTTATATCAAAACGTTCAGCTATCCCTGCTGCCACTAACAATGTCCACGGCTAAGCCATACTCCTGATAGTTTTCACAATATGACCATTTGTTTGCAACTCACGCCGCCCATTGACTTTCATTGAAACTTCACTCGCAGGCCACCTGAAATTTGAAGGGACGTTTCTAAACTGCGACTGTGCCTTCATTTTTAATATTTCAGAGTCATACTATGCATCAATATGTAGGTCTGGGTCTTGTGAGTCTCACAATATAAATCTCTTTGCTGTAGGATTTATACTTTTAAAACTACAACCGTTTGAAGATGGCAACCGCCAGTGAAGTGAGCAAGTTGGAGCAGTTTGTTTATAAAAGCCCCTCTCAGCTTGCTCTGACTGAGTGAGTTGCCATAGCAACCGAAGGTGAGTCACCAGGAAGCAGACTGACCAAGGCTACAGTGTGAGCTGCAAAATAAAAGTTCAAATGCATTTCTTCAGGCTTGCCATGTGCACTGCTTACATTTCATCAATCACTTGGTTAGTGTTGGAGGCAAGAACACTTCACACAATTTCCCCAGAAATTGTAGATTTTCTAGTTTACCATACATTTATAATGTATTAAAATTTATTTATAATATATTATTTAGATTATAATGTTTTACTAGATTATTTGATATATTATATTTGATATATTATAAATATACACAGAATATTATAATAAATATAACATTAGTTGCTGTTATAGAAAACAAATATATTCATAATGTATTAAAATGTATTTATAATATTATTATTTAGATTAAATCATTTTGCTAGATTATTTTATGTATTATAAATACACAATATACACAGAATATTATAATAAATATAACATTAGTGCTGTTATAGAAACAAATATATTTATAATGTATTAAAATGTATTTATAATATATTATTTAGATTATATCATTTTGCTAGATTATTTTATATATTATAAATACACAATATACACAGAATATTATAATATAACATTAGTGCTGTTATAGAAACAAATATATTTATAATGTATTAAAATGTATTTATAATATATTATTTAGTATATCATTTTGCTAGATTATTTGATATATTATAAATACACAATATACACAGAATATTATAATATAACATTAGTGCTGTTATAGAAACAAATATATTTATAATGTATTAAAATGTATTTATAATATATTATTTAGATTATATCATTTTGCTAGATTATTTTATATATTATTATAAATACACAATATACACAGAATATTATAATAAATATGACATTAGTGCTGTTATAGAAACAAATATATTTATAATGTATTAAAATGTATTTATAATATATTATTTAGATTATCATTTTGCTAGATTATTTTATATATTATAAATACACAATATACACAGAATATTTATAATAAATATAACATTAGTGCTGTTATAGAAACAAATAAATTTATAATGTATTAAAATGTATTTATAATAATATTATTTAGATTATATCATTTTGCTAGATTATTTTATATATTATAAAATACACAATATACACAGAATATTATAATAATATAACATTAGTGCTGTTTATAGAAACAAAAATATTTATAATGTATTAAAATGTATTTATAATATATTTTATTTAGATTATATCATTTTGCTAGATTTTTTTATTTATAAATACACAATATACACATATTATAATAAATATAACATTAGTGCTGTTATAGA